GACCACGAAAGCGTAGAAGTCAAGTTTATGCCTAAGTATTTGTAATGGTCAGTATGTTCCACAATAACATTATCAACTATTTATTTATTATAAATTGATCATGTTTGCGACTAAAAGTGATTGGTTGGCATTTGGAAAGATTAGGTGCCATCTACCATGTTTTGCGCCCCTCACTAACACGCTCGAGGTCTTTTTGAAGGATCAGCTGATTGCTACTGTTGCGGAACAAATATACGCATACACTTGGATCAGTTGTCAGGTAGTTCATTATATGTAGATGAGGAAAAGTAAATGACCGAGAACACTGCCTTGTGGAACACCAGAGGAAACGTAACAAAGTGATGAAGAGTGATTCTTGGCGATAGGGAATTGTTGGTGGTTAGTTAAGAAGTTTCTGAGCCACGTCAAAGTGTCACAAACGACTCCAATTTTCGGATCGTCCGCGGGCCCCATCTTCCACGGAAGGGCGCTTTTGTGTTGGGAGGACGACATCCGGCCACTAACGACCCAGCGTGGCGCCGGCTCGTCTTCCCTGCACCTGTACCGAAAGGGGCACGGGCGGTCTAAAAAAAGGAAATTACCCCCAGATGGGACGGGAGCACGCGTACGCCCCTGAAAAAAATTTCGACTGCATAGGAATGGGCAGTTGACTTGCAGCCAGCAAGAAGTACGGTTGATTGATTGATTGATTGATTTGTGGGGTTTAACATCCCAAAACCACTATATGGTTATGAGAGACGCCATAGTGGAGGGCTCCGGAAATTTTGACCACCTGGGGTGTTTAACGTGCACCCAAATCTGAGTACACAGGCCTACAACATTTCCGCCTCCATCGGAAATGCAGAGCAAGAAGTACGGTCGTCGATGTTGCGAGTCTCGCGTAGGCGGCGAGCATGGACTGACCCGCGCAACGTATTGAGACGGCTGCAATTCCGGGCACCCACGTCGTCTACCAAGCCGGCGAGAGCTCCAGCAGCACCCGTCAACTCCACTACGTGCACCAAGAGCTGGCCTGGTCCGCATGGAACTTTTTGTTGTGACTTAAAAAAAACTGTTAATTTATTATAACCAACTTTTTTTAATATTTGTCGTTGTCTGCGCTGCGACGCACGTAGAAATTGAAAAGCGCGACCATGATCTTTTTCATGTAATTTTTCTTGTATCTCCTTTGATTCATGTCATTAGTTTGTTAACATTCCGCGTATTTGTCTTTTGTCTGTACCTCTTCTAATGTTCTTTTAGAGCTTTTCTTGTTTTGTAGCTGTTCTTTACCATCACGTATCAGTTTCCTTTCTCTGTTATTTTTGTTAACTCCTGACTTTGCCCTTGTTTTAATTAATGCTTGTTCGTTTTGTGTAAAATGTCTGTGTCTGCTTATGAGTACGTCAATGAGGCTCATACATCACCACATGTGCAACCCCGCACGGGTCAACCGACCTGCAAATAGATTTTAAATGTGCCACTTCGAGGCCTATCAGGCGTCGCAGGCCGAAGCGTAAAGTGGAAGCCTGCGAGTCTACCGCATGTCGATGTTGGATCGGCGGGGCCTCACCCGAAGTGTGTGACAGTGATTTAATCTAGTTTTAGTGATGAAAGTTTTAAAATCAAGCGATAATGAGCAACTCGAACGAATGAATTTGCGGAGCCAAAAAATAAACAATCTCTCTGTAGATTATTGTTCACGTTAGAATGTAGGTCGGTGGGGAAATCAAAGAGTTCAGTCTCACAAGAACGACCCTTTCGGAACCCGGGATGGTTAAATAAAAAGAAATTGTTAGATTCTAGATGTGCATAAATGTTAGAAGTTATGATATGCTCAAGCATCTTGCAACATATGCACGTCAAGGAAATGGGGCGATAATTTCCAGGTGAACATTTACTACCACTTTTATGGAGTGGCACTACATTCGCTGTCTTCCAGTCAGAAGGCAACATTCCTATAGTGAGCTACTGCTGAAAATGTGAAACAGGATAGTGCTAGAGACAAAAACAATGTTCTTTAAAGGGGACCTGCAACACGTTTTGAGCAGGGTCAGAAAACGCCGCAAATCAGTAGTGGAGGCTTGGGACAACACGCGAGCCAAATATTCCTGGATTTCACAACAAATTATCAAAGTCAGCTAAAAATTGCTTTCTATTCTCTCGGTAAATGACGGAATAAGCCTAAAAATCACTCTTAGTAAGCCCATCTATCAGCCATTGGCTGATTTGAACATGGCACGCTCGGATTTTACAGAGATTGCCGCGGGAGGCCGTCACTTGTCCACTGAAAAAAGCCACGAATTCGAATAGTAAAAAGAAAGAAAGTGCTCAAATTCAAGAGGCGTGCGTGAAGTTTTTCTTTGCCCCTCCCCTCCCTCTCTGCTTAGCTTCGAGCGCTTTCATCAGGACGAGAGAAGAGAGAATGCGAATGCAGTGTGTGACAACTCTTAGTAACTCTGCTCGTACTGGACCGATTCTTGAAAGTTTTGTGGCTTTGAATTGGTGAACAATATGTTTTTTCGACATTTATTCTATGGTTTTTCAAAAAATGTTTCAGAGCTCCTTTAATATTTTAGAATTGATATCATCACTACCAGAAAATAATGACATCCTTAGGTTTTCGATCATTTTAGATATATCTTCAAATGTGATATCGATAGGTGACATGAATGAGTAATCACGTTCGACAATTTCTGGAAGATGGTCATGTTCGTCAGTGAACACGGATATAAAGAATGAATTAAAGACATGAGGACAATCAATGTCTGCGAAAAAATGTTATTTTTATTGTGCAATCAAATTAAGTTATCATGGCGATCAGGACGTGTACGTAATATAGGTACGTACACATACGGCGAGTAACGGTGACACCCACGTCGACGCCCGACGTAGATGCTTACGCTGGTGGCAAAATCCAGCCAAGAATATACATATAATTGCTGTCGCAATAGAAGTGATCAACAATTGAGGGCACATTGTGCTCTATTATGGAAGAGCGGACAGCCATCCCATAAAGACTGTGTTCAGAGAAATTGGTGTACAGTACACGGTACTCTATTATGCAAGAGCTGAAAGCCTTTCCTAGGACCTCACACGTGATGAGGCTGCAACGCTAAAAATGCCCCCATCTTTGCGAAGGGAATCGGGAGGAAATTCAAATCCATTGCCTAGCGTTCATAAGGGTGTTTCACACGTGAGAACCCAGCATTGGTTTTCTTTTTTTTCTTACACCGTGCAGCCAATAGCCCCTTTCACTGCACGTGGCGTTTTTTTTTGTGGCGAGTAGGGTGGTATGGGTTTCCACCTCGAGTAGTTAGCGTGCATGGTTAAAAATAGTATGCAGTGTACAAAACAAACAGCGTTTTTGGCTCGGCGTTGGCGTTTCACTGCAATGTCTGGAGCACACACTTCTGGATGTTCTTGAGAGGCTCCCTGCCAGCGAATGGTGGTAGTGGCAGTAGTGGTTAGAAAGGAAAAAAATGCACCTAATTTCTGCAGCCTGGCAGGGAGCACAGCGCAGTGCCTGTGGGGAAACGAAATGGGAGAAAAGTGGAAAGAAAAGAAAAAAGATTAAGTAAGCAGTGACACAGTCGTCTTCAGCACGAAAAGCAGTCCAGCAGCAAGGGCATAGGTGGCAAGGGTCCCTTTCTCGGCGGTAGGCTGTGATCCCCGTCTCGTCCAGGAACTCCACCAGGCTCTGGAGTGCTGCTACATGGGGACGAGGTGAGAAGAGCAGGTGAGCCAGTGTGGTGCCAGGAAGGCCATGTCTCCGGCAGGCTACGGTGACCCTCTAGCGTTCCTGTGCCAAGGCACGGCAGGCACAGAGGAGGTGCTCGAGGGTTTCGGGGTCGCTGCAGTGGCTGTAGACTGAGGAGGCGCAGTGTCCCTTGAGGTAGCGAAGGCCATGGTGCACACGCATCCGGTCCGCAGCTACAGCAGGTCGGCTCGTTCTCTCCTGGTAAGGCCTGCCTCGGAAAGACGCCTGGATCCCCGCCCGTTGGCCACCATCTGGTCTGTGTGGACCGAGCCGAGGAGCTTCTTGATACGAGCCTGCGTGTAGTCCCTGGCAGCCACAGCCTGTGTGATGGGGGTTCTTGGTTGGTGTGCTGCCTTGGCCAGCGTCTCCGCCTCTTCGTTGCCAGCTGCGGCCACATGGGAGGGCAGCCAGTGGAAGGTGACGGACGTCCCGGCCACCGCAAGGGCCCGGTACTTGGATGCCAGGAGACTCCCTGTGAGCCCGGAATGGTGATGGTTGGCCAGCGTCTGCAGGGCTGCCTTGCTGTCGCACAGGACTGCGACCGGCTCAGCTGGAACGTCCTCGGCTAGCAGGTCCGCCACCAGGTGCAGTCCTGCCAGCTCCACAGCTGTCGAGCTTGCCGGGAAGGGCAGTCGGCACAGCGCTGATAGCCCGGGATGGGTTGACGCAGGCATCTGTCGCTGTACCGTCTAGCATGACGGAACCGTCTGTGAAGACTTGGAGCCGCCCTGCCATTTGCTGCTGGAGCTTGGAGACGGCGGCCTATAGCAGTGCTGCAACAGGCGTTCGGAGCTTGGTTGTCCCATTTAGGAATAGGTGGACCTCAGGCGGCGGTTAGTGGCGCAGTGAAGGAGCCACTGGGACTGGCGGATCCGGGACCATCTGGTGGTAGAGTGCACAGAGACCACCCATCAGTGACCTCGGGTGGCTGCGAAGTCACTCCCGGGGGGTGCTGCCATCGGCGGCATGGTGAAGGTGGTCGAAAAGCCCTAGTGAACGCTGGAGCATGCGCAGAGATAGGGGCCACTCTCTAGCCTCGGCCAGGGTCACTGCCACGGGGGAGTACCAGGGGAGCCCTAGGATGGCACTCCCTGCTCTCCTGTGATGCCCTCTAGGTCCAGTCTTTTGGCAGGCATCAAGGCCACCAGTGGGAAGGCGTATAGCAGGACTGAGGACGCTGAAGCCCGGTTGAGTCGTAGCGCCAGCTTGATGGAGCACCCCATCCCCGCATCTGCAGCTTGCTGATTGCTCCCTGGACACGTCAGACCAGTTTGCAGGCGCCCTTGGGAGCTGGGATCCAGGTGAGACGGTGATCGATGGTGAACCCCAGGTACTTCGCCGCCAGCTTCCAAGGCAGGTTGTGTTTGCCAACCCTCAGCTGCTTCACGTAGCGTGGTGCTGCCACCAGCGGGTGGATCAGTAGGGCCTCGGTCTTGGTTGCGGAGACTCTTCCGATGCCGCTCAAGTAGGCGGTCACCGCATTCAGGGCCGCCCGCAGTGACCTCCTCACGGCTGGATAGGACCGCCTTGGTCCCCGGGCCCAGAGTGCCACGTCGTCGGCGCAGACGGAGCAGCGGGCCGGGAACCTGGTGCCTGTCAGAAGAGAGACGGGGAGCCCTGCCATCGCCAGGTTGAACAGGAAGGGGCTCAGCACGGAACCCTGAGAAACACCTGCGGTGATATACCTGGGTTGGCTGGTCTCCTTTCCGACTCGAACCCGGAAGGTCTTACCGGTCAGGAAGGTATTCAAGAAGCTGCGGAGGCTCCCGTCTACGCTAAGTTGGTCCAGGGCCGCATCGACGACCTCATGTGGGATACCGTCAAAGGCACTCTCCTCGTCTAGCAGGAACAGCAAGGCCACGTAACTAAAGCTCCTCGAGGGTGGCGACGACATCGGAGATAGAGTCGGCTGTGTACCGGTGGCGTCCGAAGCCTGTCAGCTGTTCCGGAAAGAACTCGAGTTGGCCAGCAATCCACTCGAGTTGCTCTAAGACCACCTTCTCCAGCACCTTGCAGGGTACCGAGGTGAGAAAGACTGGCCAACATGAGGAGAGGGCCATGGTTTTCTTCCGAGGCTTCAGGATTGGTGAAGACCGCAGTGCGCCATGACTCCGGTAAGACACCGCTGCTCCAGACGTCATTGAAGTACTCAAGCAAGTGCTGGTGGCCAGCTTCGTCCAGGTTACGGAGCATCTGGAAGGTGACGCCATCGGCCCCGGGGCACTGCAGCCCGGGGCCTGTTTGGCCCCGGGGCACTGTTTGGATCCTGCAGGGGCAGCCTCCAACTCGTGCTCCCTGCTGGGTTCGCAGCACAGTTCTTGCGCATGTGCGGCTGTCCACCCAGGATGGTGGCAAGTGGCAGGGTACTGCAGGGCAGCTATAGGTGGTGCAGCAGGCAGCTGTGCAATGTCCCTCGCAGCAAGCTGGTAGGACAGCTGTTCCGCCAAGCCCACAACCCGGATGGAAAGGCGGACGGCCAGGGAAATCACTTGGTTTAAGGGCCGTGGCACCATCAGCAGGTACTTGAGCAGGTGCCAGGCTTGGTGCCGTCCCGTGATTGGTCGATAAAGGCGCAGACGCCCACCCAGTACTGGTTCCTGCGTTGTCGGGGGTGGCGTTTGCAGACAGCGTCAACCTCCCCGAACACTCTTCAGAGCTCCAGTTGAGCCTTCTTTAGAGCCTGGTGTTCTGCCCACCTCCGCGCTACTCTCGAAGCTAGGTGTTTCAGAAGGACCAGAGAGACCGCACAACTGATTCGTCTTTGGTTTATTGTTGACAGAATGAGATTAAAAATATATAAAGTGCGTGCCCCTGGCTGCTACTTCTTCCTCGCCTCCATCTTCAGTCTGTTTTCTCTATCTTCTCGCTGACCAGAATCAACCGAAGCAACCTTCGAGTTGATGTCGAAAAACCTATAGGGTCATAGAGCCTTGCCATATCTTGCAAAACTTGTCTCTTTGAGAGCTGTTTCATGTCCTTGTCATTTCGCCATGTAGTACAGGGAAACCTCAACACGTCGTGCACGAAATTCCATTTTAGTCTCAAATTGTGGATTTGTCCCTCTTATCCATCGATCCAGATTCTCTCCTTCTTCATCAAATATTTTTCTTAGTTCAGCGTCATTTGATGTCTATTTTGTTAAATTCATTCCCTCATTACGAAAAATGTCTCTTCCTTGTATATCTTTGCCGATGTCGAGTATTCATCGGCTCCTAGGTAAAACGGCATCGACGTAGATTCTTTTCCGGAGTTGCGCCACAACTGCACGATATTTTTTTTCAAATTTATCCAATTGTCGATTAATTGTGCATGCTAGAAGAAAGCTGCTTGGTGTAGTTCCGAAAGTAACCCCCGTCCTCCTTCACGTTTTTATCTTCGCGCTTGGCTTATTTTTGCTGGGTATTCTTTGCCACCGCATAAATCGCAGTGCGTCTCGGTCATTTTTGTGTATTTTGATCTGTAAAAATGCTTTTTCCACGTCCGCTGACATGGCGGTCTTGTAATTTCGAAACTTTATTAGCAAGCTCATGATGTCGGGGTTCATGTTTGGCCTATTTTCCAAGTTGTCATTCGAAGATTTTTCTGAATTCTGGCTTGACGAGGCGTCAAAGACGATCCGTATCTTTGCCCTTGTTCGGTCCTTTCTAGTTACCACTTGATTTGGCATGTAGTATACAAATTTGTTCTGTGTATCTGATCCAGTATCTTCTTCGACGTTTTCTGCTATTTCGTGCTCGAAGTACTCTCGGATAGCTTTGTCGTAGGCTAGGAGCTCATCTTTATCCTTATATGATTTCTTTGTCACCTGGATAAGCCTCTTCTCTGCAATGGTGTTGTCGCCCAATGCTACGTTTTCCTTAATATCTTCCTGCACTTGGTATCTTCATGCTTTGAACTCCATTGTTTGTCGGGCATACTCTAGCACATGGTCATCGCTCATCTTTGTTGCTGATTTCTCTTTGATTCCCTTGTTTTCCAAGTCCCAGAATCACTGCAGTTCGTCGACAATCATGTGCAACTTGGCACTGACCTTTATTACTATAACCGTCGATGATTTTATTGGCACACAATGAAGTCCTACAGGACCTTAGACCGTCCATCCCAACATCGTTTCTATCGCCACAACTTTTGGATGAATCTCGCGAATGCGACCAGTGCATACAGTCCAGTAATATTCTGCTCCAATTATTATCAATGTATCCATAATTTTTTCTTTCTTTGTTCATCTTCTCACTGTCATCAGCCAAACGAATTCCCATCGATCTCGCTTTTTCGCGTATTGTCAGCAGTCGCGATGGTAGCAGGTCACAGGATATAACTTCTATCTCCAGCACCTCAGTCGTGACACGCTCTGATGAGTCCTTCCTCACACCGACCTCGACGACTTCCATATCTAGTTCCATCTCTCCTGCTCCAAATGATCCTATGGTAATCCTTTCGGATCTTTTTACCATGCACGCTAGTTTTCTTGATAGTATTTTGAGGATGAATGTCCTCTGGCTCCCATTGTACAGCAGAATTCGTGTGTAGCACCCGCTATCTTCTCCCTCCGTCCACGGAATGGCTGTCTGCAGTAGTATGCACTTGTGTTCACCAGACATCTGTGCGTGCATGTTGCAGGACTTGCTGGTATCTAAGACGTCAGGTTGCGCGCTTATACGAACTTTTTCAACGTCGTCACCACTTTGCTGCTGTGCTGATTTTCATGCAGGTGAACGTGGTCGACACATGAATGTCACGTGCATTTCCTTGCATGTTTTGCAGCGTACGTTAGCGCGGCATATCTTCGCCGTGTGGTGAGGTCTGGTGTATCTGAAGCACCTTCGTTCCCGTTGCAAGGCTTCTTTCTACTTTTACATAGTCATGGTTCTTCTGCAATCTTCCGTGTAATGTCCAGTCATCTCACAGAAGATGCATTAGTTCATCGAGGTGCTTTGAAGGGTAGATGTTCTTGTCCGCCTCATACTGTGCGGTGACTGGGTCACGTCGTATTTTTACTCTTGAGTTACTTCTCTCCACAATTTCTTTGAAACTGCTCGTGCAGTTTCTTGACGCTGAGTCCGATTCCGTAGTTACTGGTCTGTTGTCGCCTTTATTCGTATTCATCTCAATTCTCATATCCACCAGTAGCGCAGTTTTAATAACGAGCTATCACCACGGCGTTACTATTCATTTCCACTCCTAACGACTGCAATGCTCGTGTGTTTCCTTGCAACTTTTGGAAGAGTTTCTTCAACCCATCTACATTTTTAGGACTCATCACTGCTTCCACGTTTGCTAGCTCTTTTATGTATGCCTCTCTTAAATGATCTTGTCATCTGAAGGTTTTTTCTGAAGATCAACTGTATGCTCGTAATTCTGAACAGAAATCTGCCAACCTTCTATTAGAGGCGCAGCCTCTCCGCTCAGGGATGACCCGCAGGTCGCGGGATCCAATCCCGGCTGCGGCGGCTGCATTTCCGATGGAGGCGGAAATGTTGTAGGCCCGTGTGCTCAGATTTGGGCGCACGTTAAAGAACCCCAGGTGGTCGAAATTTCGGGAGCTCTCCACTACGGCGTCTCTCATAATCAATAGGCGGTTTTGGGACGTTAAACCCACATATCAATCAATCAATCTCCGCTCAGAGACGACAGAAGGTAATTGAATTTTTTATTCTTCGGCAAGTTCAATCTGTTATGCACCAATGTCTTGAACTGATGTCAAAACCTTGGCCTTGCTGTTTTTCTCCCATCAAACTTGATCATCTCAAGACGTGGCAACTTGACAAACTCTTGCGTCTCCGAGATTTGGTTAGCACCTTGCACTGAGTTCGCCTGTTCTGTGAATGTTCTCGTAGTGAGTTGCGTCGTTTGTTCGTTTGTTCTAACTCGCGTAATAGCTCCTCTATTTTTGTCGCTGCGGCAACGATCTTCATCTCAAACTGCAAAGCTCTTTCAAAAAATGCCTCCACGTCTTCTTCGATGAGCGGTTTAATCTGTTCGTTAAGTTGTCTTAGCCTCTGTGACACGCTCTTTATCTGGTTCAGAAGCGTCATAAATTGCACTCGATCGGCTTCTTCTATCTTCTTATCAACTTCACTCGCAAGCGTGGTCACACTTGCTCGAAGCGTCTTTCGCTTCTTCGATAAGACCTCTTTATTCATGATAAAAACGTGTTGAAACAGCTCTTGCCTCTGTATGTGCGTCGCCAACAGTCATCGGTCGTTGTCCTTCCCTCGACGGTAAGTCCTTGAGCCAGACGCCGCTGTTTCGTTTTTCAACCCGTTGTTGTGTTAGGGGTCGTTGTCTTTGCGTCCGTCCTCAGATATTCTGGTCACGGCACCATGTTTTAGAACGACCAGAAAGACCACAGAACCGATACGTATTGGTTTATTGTTGACAGAACAAGATTAAGAAAATATAAAGAACGTGCCCCTGGCCACTACTTCTTCCTCGTCTTCAAGCACCATCTTCAATCTGTTTCCTATACTACGTGCTAGATATCTGGAACAGGCTACCCTCGCTGCGCCTCGACAATGATGGTTGCAGCCCGGGTACTCACATTCACCAGTTGCATGAGGTCCTTGTCACCCGTGTCCTGCTTGAACAGCTGTCGGTATACTCACCAGTCTACCACATGATACTCTCGATTCCTGGGGGCCTTGCCTCGGGAAGGGGTCAGCAGGATGTGCAGGTGGTCCGAACCCGAAAACGACGACCACGCGTACCGGCAACTCGCCGTGGCCACGCTGAGGCCTAGGGCTGTTCTGGTGCTGTTGGCTCCGCTACGAAGGTAGGTGATGGCCCCTGTGTACAGGATTACCAAACCCAGCTGCAGCAGGATGTCGTGCACCTCTCGCCCTCGTAGGTTGGTCTTGCGGCCACCCCAGGCTGCATGGTGGACGTTGACGTCAC